TTATCTTTCACTATTTGTTGTGAATTTAAAATTTTATTTCTTAATAATTTAATTCTTTAACCATAAAATACTTTGTTTATTTAATATGAAGAGATTTTGCTACAATTTTATGAAATCACGAGAATAAATATAAAAAAATTCTAGAATATATTCCGACTGTTTGACAGACAATGATCGATAATTTGTATTTAAACCTAATTGTTTAATAACAGGTTTGATATTTCGAAGCTAAAATTTGTCCTTGATGATAGTATCAATGTATATCATGATTGGAAATAGTTTATACGGATCAAAAATTTGAATATCAATAAAAACGAACAATGATTTATAACACAGACTACTTTTCAAGTTTTTTTTAGCAGACACTTACAATTGATATAAAGCTAAACGTTTTTAATAGTAACGAAGAGTTCTCAACAATTTAGATTATTAATTTTAATTTCTTATTGTCATAATAACGTGCAGGATAATTATTTAAAAATAAATTGAAGTTTTATTGTGGACAAATTCTTATTATAAATGCTAATTAATTCAATCTGTATAAACAGGATAAACAAGATTTGTTGTAACATATATCATAATTAATACTACACTTAGAAAGTTTTTTATTTGTTGAGTATTATTTTGTAATTATGTGACATAGTTTAATAAACTCAATAATACTAACGAATTTAAAATAACTCAGTTTTGGACATGTTAAAGTCAAGTAAGCTTCTTTGACTTTTATTTCTTCATGTTTTCAGGTAAATCTTTATTATTCTATATTTTATTTTCTTATTGAGGTAATTTAGCTTTCTTCTTTTCTTCAATGTGTTTTGCGATAGCTGTTGCCATACTAAATGACAAAACTTTAGATTCTTTTATAAATTCTTTAATTTCCTGATCATATAATCCATTTATGAAAATATCCTTTATATGATACGTAGATTTATATGTAGGATCGGATTTACTTGATAATTTTTTTAATGATTCGACATATTCATCAACAGATTCATACGGTAATTGGACACGTGTTAAAAAACGATAATCAGCTGCGTTTTCTGCTTTAATATCTGTAAATAGTTCTGTTAACACAGCTACAAATTGATCGTATGGAATTTCAAATGGATTCTGATCAGCTAATTTTGGTTGAATTCTCGGAAATACAGAAGGTTCTAACCAATCTAACAAAAATTTAACAGTTTTGTTATCTGGTATTTTTAAGGAAGTGGCTAATTGCTCAAAAGTATTTAGCCATTGTAGAAAATCCATTGTCCTTTCGTTAAACATCTCAAGCGTAATCCCTGTTGATGTACTATTGTCTCCTGTAGCCATTATAAACAATATTTAATGAACAATTATCTTCTTTTGATCAGAAACTATTATTTCTTCACTTTTGTTTATCTTTCACTATTAAACACTTAATATTATATTTTTTGTTGTGAATTTAAAATTTCATTTCTTAATAATTTAATGCTTTACCCATAAAATACTTTGTTGTATAAATATGAAGAGTTTTTGCTACAATTTTATCATATCACGAGAAGAAATATATAAAAGTTCTAGAATACATTCCGACTGTTTGACAGACAATGATCGATAATTTGTATTCAAACCTAATTGTTGAATAACAGGTTTGATATTTCGAAGCTAAAATTTGTCCTTGATGATAGTATCAATGTATTTCATAATTGTAAATAGTTTATACGAATCAAAAATTTGAATATCAATAAAAACGAACAACTATTTGTAACAATTACTACTTTTCATGTCTTTTTTAGCAGACACTTACAATTGATATAAAGTTAAACGTTTTTAATATTAACGAAGAGTTCTCAACAATTTAGATTATTAATTGTAATTTTTTATTGTCATAATAACGTGCTGGATAATTATTAAAAAATACAATGTTGCTTTATTGTAGATGTATTCTTATTATAAATAATAATTTAGTCAATATATATAAACGGAGTCAACGTGTTTTGTTATAACATATGTCAAAATTCATACTACAAGAAAATATTTGTATATTTGTCAAGTTTTATTTGATATTTATGTGACATTCTTCCATAAACTTTATCATATTAACAAATTTAAAATTACTCATTTTAGAATGGTTAAAGTCAAGTAAGCTTTTTTGACTTTTATTTCTTCTTGTTTTCAGGTAAATTTTTTTTATTCCAAATTTTCTTTTCTTTTTTACCTATTTCATCTTTCTTCTTTAGTTCCATGTGTATTGCGATACTTCTTATTATATGAAATGGTAAAGCATTAGAATTCTTTAAAAATTCTTTAATATCCTGATCATGTAATCCTTTTATGAAAATATCCTTATAATAAAACCCAGATTTATATTTAGAACTGCATTTACTTGATAATTTCTTTAATGATTGGTAATAGTGATCAACAGATTCATACGGTAATTGGACACGTGTTAAAAAACGATGGTCAGCTACGTCTTCTGCTTTAATATCTGTAAATATTTCTGTTAACACAGCTATAAGTTTATCGTAATTAAGTGTATATAGGTTTAAGGGAGATATTTTGTCCTGAATTCTCGGAAATACAGATGGTTCTAACCAATCGTATAAAAAATTAACCCTTTCACGACCTTTTATTTTCAAGGAAGTAGCTAATTGCTCCAAAGTATTTAGCCATTGTAGAAAATCCATCGTCTTTTCGTTAAATTTCTCTAGCGTAATCCCTATTGATGTACTATCGTCTTCTGTAGCCATTATAAACAATTTTTAATGAACAATTATCTTCCTTTGATCAGAAACTATTTTTTTCTTTTCTTTTGTTTAACTTTCACTAATAAACACTTTATATATTATTTGTCGTTATTATTTTAACAAATTTATTTCGTTTTTAATTGACTCAATGCTTTAATTTTAAAATACTTCGTTTATTTTATATAAATAGTTTTTGCAACAATTTTATGATTTCACAAGATTAAATATATAAAAGTTCTAGAATATATTCGGACCGTTTGATAGACAATGATCGATAATTTGTATTTAAACCTAACTGCTGAATAACATGATTGATATTTTGAACCTACAATTTGTCCTTGATGATAGTATCAATGTATTTCATGATTGTAAATAGTTTATACGGATCAAAAATTTGAATATCAATAAAAACGAACAATTATTTATAACACAGACTACTTTTAATGTTCCTTCTAACAGACACTTACAATTGATATAAAGTTAAACGTTTTTAATATTAACGAAGAGTTCTCAACAATTTAGATTATTAATTGTAATTTTTTTATTGTCTTAATAACGTGCTGGATAATTATTAAAAAATACAATGTTGCTTTATTGTAGATGTATTCTTATTATAAATAATAATTTAGTCAATATATATAAAACGATTCAACGTGTTTTGTTATAACATATGTCAAAATTCATACTACAAGAAAATATTTGTATATTTGTCAAGTTATATTTGATATTTATGTGACATTCTTCCATAAACTTTGTCATATTAACAAATTTAAAATTACCCATTTTAGAACGGTTGAAGTCAAGTAAGCTTCTTTGACTTTGATTTCTTCATGTTTTCAGGTAAATCTTTATTATTCTATATTTTATTTTCTTTTTCACGTATTTCAACTTTCTTCTTTTTTTCCATGTGTTTTGCGATATCTGCTATCATACGAAATGGCAAATCTTTAGAATTCTTTAAAAATTCTTTAATATCCTGATCATATAATCCTTTTATGAAAATATCCTTATAATAAGACGCAGAATTATATTTAGGAAGACATTTATTTAATAATTTCTTTAATGATTTTTCATATTCTTCAATAGATTCATACGGTAATTGGACACGTGTTAAAAAACGATAATCAGCTAGGTCTTCTGCTTTAACATCTGTAAATATTTCTATTAAAAAATCTATAATCACATCGTATGGAAGTTCAAATGGGCTCCTATAAGGATATATTTTTTCAACAATTTTTGGAAGTACAGAAGGATCTAACCAATCGAATAAGAATCGAACAGTTTCGCTATCTGGTATTTTCAAGGAAGTGGTTAATTGCTCAAAAGTATTTAGCCATTGTAGAAAATCCATTGTCTGTTCGTTAAATTTCTCAAGCGTAAACCCTATTGATGTATCATCGTCTCCTGCAGCCATTATAAACAATATTTAATGAACAATTATCTTCTTTTGTTCAGAAACTATTTTTTTCTTCACTTTTGTTTAACTTTCACTATTAAACACTTTATATATTATTTGTCGTTAAAAATTTAAAAAAATTATTTCGTTTTTAATTGACTTAATGCTTTAATTTTAAAATACTTCGTTTATTTTATATAAATAGTTCTTCCTACAATTTTATGATTTCACGAGAATAGATATATAAAAGTTCTAGAATATATTCCGACCGTTTGATAGACAATGATCGATAATTTGTATTTAAACCTAATTGTTGAATAACAGGTTTGATATTTCGAACCTACAATTTGTCCTTGATGATAGTATCAATGTATTTCATGATTGTAAATAGTTTATACGGATCAAAAATTTGAATATCAATAAAAACGAACAATTATTTATAACACAGACTACTTTTAATGTTCCTTCTAACAGACATTTACAATTAGTACAAAGTAAAACGTTTTTAATATTACTGCAGCTGTTCCAAAAAATTCGATTAATAATTATAATTTTTAATTGTCATAATAACGTGCTGGATAATTATTAAAATATAAAATGCCGTTTTATTGTAGATGTATTCTTATTATAAATACTAATTTAGTCAATATATATAAACGGAGTCAACGTGTTTTGTTATAACATATGTCAAAATTCATACTACAAAAAAATATTTGTATATTCGTCAAGTTTTATTTGATAATTATTTGCCATTCTTCAATTAACTTTGTAATAATAACGAATTTAAAATTACTCAGTTTTGAAAAGCCAAAGTCAAGTTAGCTTCTTTGTCTTTTATTTTTTTCTGTTTTCAGGTTAATTTGTATTATTCTATTATTCTATATTTTCTTTACTTATATACGTATTTCTCCTTTCTTCTCTAGTTCAATTTGTTTTGCGATAGCTATTGCATTACTAAGTGACAAATTTGTATACCTCTTTAAAAATTCTTTAGTTTCCTGATCATATAATCCTTTCATGAAAATATTCTGTAAATATGACGAAGTTTTATAGATAGAAAAGCATTTACTTGATAATTGCCACAATGATAGGACATATTCGTCAACAGATTCGTACGGTAATTGGACACGTGTTAAAAAACGATAGTCAGCTACGTCCTTTGCTTGAACATTTGTAAACATTTCTGTTAAAACAGCTATAAGCTCATCGTATGGAAGTTCATATGGGTTTACAGGAGATATTTTTTCACGAATTTTTGGAAATACTGAAGGTTCTAACCAATCGAATAAGAATCTAACAGTTTCGTTATCTGGTATATTCAAGGAAGTGACTAATTGCTCAAAAGTATTAAGCCATTGTAGAAAATCCATCGTTTTTTCGTTAAACTTCTCAAACGTAATCCCTATTGATGTAGTATCGTCTTCTGTAGCCATCATAAACAATATTTAACGAACAATTATCTTCTTTTGATCAGAAACTATTTTTTTCTTTTCTTTTGTTTAACTTTCACTATTAAACACTTTATATATTATTTGTCGTTATTATTTTAACAAATTTATCTCGTTTTTAATTGACTCAATGCTTTAACTTTAAAATACTTCGTTTATTTTATATAAATAGTTTTTATTACAATTTTATGATGTCACGAGAATAAATATATAAAAGTTCTAGAATATATTTCGACCGTTTGATAGACAATGATCGATAATTTGTATTTAAACCTAACTGTTGAATAACTTGTTTGGGCAGGAATAGATATTTTGAACCTACAATGTGTCCTTGATGATATGATCAACATATCTCAGGATTGTGAACAGTTTATACTGATCAGGGATTTGAAAATGAAGAAACGGAACAAAATATCTCTTTCTTGTCTATCCTATCATTTAACAGTTTAGTTTAAATATAATATATCGCGATCATTGTTTATCAAACAATTTTAAAGTTAATGAATTAGTTAGTTTTGAATTAATTAGAAACGAAATACATTTCTTAAATACATTAACGAAAAATAATATAAAGTGTTTGAAACTGAAAGTTAAACAAAAGAAAAGAAAGAAAAAAACAAGTTACTGGATCAAAAGAAGATAATTGTTTATTAAATATTTTTTGCAATGGCTGTTGAATTCTATCGTTCATTGAAATTCAGTATGATTGATAAGTTTAACGACAATTCGATGCATTTTCTAAAATGGTTAAATTTTTTGGAATATTTAATTTTAACCTTGGGAGTGAAAGATGACGAGAAGCTTCAATTTTTATTAAATTACATAGAACCTTTTACAGTTACGAAAATTGAGGAAAGAATATCTCCTATAAACCCATATGAACTTTCATACGATGAGCTTATTATCGTGTTAACAGAATTGTTTACAAATGTTAAAGAAACAAATTTAGCTGATTATCGTCTATTAACACGTGCCCAATTACCGTTTGAATCTATTGAAGAATATGTCCTTTCACTAAAGAAATTATCAAGTAAATGCACTTCCAACAATAAATTTACATCTAATTTAACACATCTTTTTATAATAGGATTACATGATCAGGAAACTAAAGAATTATTGAAAAAGTATTCAAATATGACACTTGGTAAGGCAGTAGCTATGGCAAGATTAATAGAAATGAAGAAGAAAATTGAAATACGTAAATAAGAAAATAAAATCTAGAATAATAAGAATTTATCTGAAAAAAAATATAAAGAAATAAAAGTCAAAGAAGCTTACTTGAATTTAGCTGTTAAAAACTGAGCAATTTTAAATTCGTTAATATTATAAAGTTCATTAAAGAATATTTTGTACAATTATCCTGCACGTTATTTAGACAATTAAAAATTATAATTATTAATCTAATTTGTTGGTAATACTACAGTAATATTAAAAACGTTTAACTTTGTATTAACTGTAAATGTCCGTTAGATGAAACATGAAAAGTAGTCTGTATTATTATAAAGAATATCATTTTTGTAATAATTTTATGTTAAAAAATAATAACATTTTTAAAAATATGTAAAATATATATTGAAAATACATATATTTAATATTCATTACATTGGATATTTATTATATTCTATTTATGTGTATATATATATAATATTACGTTTGTAATATAATATATATTATAATATCAAATTTGTATCTATAATATTATATATATTATATATGTATAAATAGATAGAGAGATTAATGTAGTAGAAAGTCATGAGAAAGTATTTCCTAAACGTCTGAAATTATAAATCACTTGAATAAGCTATGAGGGGGACGAATTAAAAAGGACACCTCTTAAATTAACCCAATTATAAATTTAAATATAGCATCAGATGTTAGAAGATCAAAGTGCTGAAAAAAATCTTGCAAATTTACAATTCTGAAAATTCTTTTCTAATTTTCATAAGCACATAACACCTTTAGAAACGCAATATAATCAAAAGTAAAATTGTATCAGTTGATATTTTCTTTTGTTGGAATTCTTAATCCACATAAATTTGTGACGTTGAAATATATTGACAATATTATCAAGGACAAATGTTATATTCTAAATATCTTCCTCTACGTCTTCTTTCACTTTATAATAAAATTTAAATACTAAATAGAATACATTGTCTATCAGATGGTTGGGATATATGTGTCAGTACTTTTATATTGTTATTCTCATTACACTTATACAATTGTAGGCAAAAATTGTCATCTTTAATT